CAGCCATTCAGAACCCTACAGAGCACATTCTACACTGAACACCTGGGCTCATGGGAACAGGCAGGAGAGGTCCCATATCAGAGCCTGAGGGGTGGGGTGGGGGTGAGGGGGCACCAAGAAGACGCTGGAGTGGATTTGGCACACTTGCCTCACTGAGTTAAGGAGCTGCGTGTGTGGGTACAACAGGGAGGAGGCCCAGTGTGCAGAGGTGGGGAAACTAGAAACAGTAGGGAGATGGGGTTAGGGAATTTGGAACTGCTGAAGGCTTGGGTGTTTTGTTTGCTTAATTATTTATTTTATTTGGTGGTGTTTGTTGAAAAGGCACATAGAACGAACACCAACTCAACAGTCTCGCATGTGTTATTCAGAGGCATTAATTACGTTCCGCAAGCTCAACCTGCTCACCCTCCTTTTCCACACTGTTCCTCCCCCTATGACATAAACTCTCTGTCCCCGGGTGTCTTAGCTAACCTTTCTAGTTGTTGTCTCCACGTGATCTTCACAGAGAGAGTGCTTTAAAAGCACACATGGCTCCAGGCAGACATTCTTTAGGAATGTAGCTACACTATGGGTGGGTTTTTCTTTTTCCCTTTTTCTTCAGCATTGTTTGGCAAGACCTCAGATTACATGTTGTTAGGATGGACCAACCCCTAGGATAATCCCTGACCTGTGCTTGGTGGAGGGTCAGTAAAAACAGGGAAGCCCCTCCACAAGATGGGTTGGCACAGTGGCTCTGATATCGGGCTCAAGCACAGAAGCACCGTGAGCTCGGCGCAGGGCTGAGCAGGGTCTCCTTGTGCTGTGCACGGGGCCAATGTGAGTTGGAACCAACTTGGTGGCACCTAATGACAACAGCATTGCTGGTTAAAGACTTCAGTGGATGTTTCTAGTTGAACGGTTACAGGTTGTCTCGGGGCAATAGTGTCAGGCGTTCCTCTCAAACTTCAGAAAGTTTGGACTTTATGAGAATTTGAAATTCTGTTCCACATATCCACTCTTTTTGATTGGGATTTTTCTAACGACTCTTAGTTCAAAACCTTCTGTCATGTCATCATCCAATTCTTCTGGTCTATGGCAGAGACAGTAATTGTCCTTGAAGGCAATACACCATTCCCTCCTCTTATCCTTACTCTCTTTCTTCTGTTGGAAGACTTGTTGGGTTTTTTTGTTTTTGTTTTTCTGTGTTTTTTTTTTGAAGACTTGTTTTTTAAGGAGCAAGAAAGATTGTCACAGGAGTGGGCTAGAGAGACCATTGAGTTATGTATGTGCTCCGTAGTATGTGCTTTGCCTTCTAAGTGAATGCTTCAAGTGCCCAGAGGGCGGGGATAGAGCCAGTGCATGTGACTGACAGTTCTGGAGACTCCTGCTAGCTCTGTGGTCTTCTGGAACTGACTTCACCTCTCTGAGAATCAGTGCTGGATGGGGCTGCTTTGAGCCTGACACTGGGTTTAGAGAAGAGTTGCTCTTTAGCTGTCACATGTACCCACCACCTTCAGGCGGCCCAGCTGAGTCCAAGACCAGCCTGTATGTGAAAGGGAAGCTGCCCGAATGGGAGGGTTAACTGGGAATGGCCGTGGAGATGTTTCCCCAGACTTGTGGGACCTGCGGACCGAGTCCCGGTGACCCTCCTTCCCGAGCAACCTATGACCCATCTGGAAGAGGGATGCAAGAGGCACAAACCAGCCCAGGCAGCTGGTGCAGGAGTGAGCTGGAGAGCAGGCCTCTGCTCCAGCCCGAGGGACACCATGGTCAGGAGGCCAGCCTGCAAGAGAGGCAGCAGGGAATAGACTAAGGGGGGGAGGAACAGCCCTGGTCCCGCAGCCATTAAGCACTTGGAAGGGAATTGAAGTCAGTCGTTCACCCTCCCGAGCCACCCTTCAGGAGAATGTGTGGCTGTCTGATTGTATAAAGATTTACAGCCTTGGAAGCTCCGCTTTGCAGCTTCTATTCCACCCTGCAGGATCCCTGGGACTTGGAATCAACTCCGTGGCCATGGATTGGTTTGGCTTCGTGCTGAGTCCAGGCCAGGTGACAGAGCATGTAGGCTTGGCCATGACAGCCCCCATGTCTGGGTCCATCCTGCTGGTGAGGCCGTCTGTCATCTGCTAGTGGAAGTCACCAGCCACGGTGACCAGCACCAGCACCTACCCCCTTCTCTCCTGTTCTGCCAGGCAAGCCCTGAACCTTCACTCACCCTTCCATTCGTAAAGCCCAGCTGAGGCCACTGAGCCACCCACCTGCCCC